CCACAGGCTGAATCAGACCTGTGTTGACTCCTGGAGCGGGCACTGTTTGCCATCCGTCTGAGGCTTTATCTGCCAGGGCGGCTGGCAACTTGCCAGCACCCTCTCGGAGTGAAGGGTTGATCGGCCAGGAAACAGACAACGGTAGGGCTCTCACCCTCCCTGGGCCTCAGCTGTTTCCGCCAAGCAGGAGACACGGGCAGCACAAGGAATTCTCACAGGATGGCCTCAGCTATTTGAGAGCCATTCTCCCAGCAGCAGTTAAAAGCGCGTCCTGCTCTTGCTGAGGACCTGGGTTCATTTTCTGCCTAGCTCAGAGGCTCACAACAGGAACTCTAGTTCTGGGGGCTCTGATGCCCTCTTCTGACTGCCTCAGTTCTGCACACATCTGTTGCACAGACATGCTCAGACCCACACATAAATATAAAATAACATTTATTATTTTATTATTTATTTGAAACAGGGTCTGTGTGTGTGTGTGTGTGTGTGTGTGTAGCCCTGGCTGTCCTGGAACTTGCCCTGTAGACCAGGCTGGCCTGGAATTCACAGAAATTCACCTTGCCTCTGTCTCCCAAGTGATGGGATTAAAGGCGTGGGCCACCACTGCCTGACTTCATTTATTTAATTCCCCCAACTGTTTCTCTACTCTTTCTCCCCACCTTACCATCCCCGCTTTCAAGACAAGGTCTTACTCGGTAGCCCTGGCTGTCCTAGATAGAGCAGGCTGGGGAACTCACAGGTGCCACCTGCTTCTGCCTCCTGAGGGCTGGGATTCAAGGACACCCAGCTTTTTTCTCCACTTTTGTTTTTTAATGATTATTACGTATGCAGTGTTCTGCCTGCATGTGTGCCTGCACTCAGGAAGAGGACACCAGATCTCATTATAGATGTGGTGAGCCACCGTGTGGTTGCTGGGACCTGAACTCAGGACTTTCGGAAGAGCAGCCAGCACTCATTAACTGCTGAACCATCTCTCCAGGCCTTGTGTCTCTACTTTCAAAGTCAGGAAATTACAATCTCCAGCCATCCCTAAAGCCTCTTCACTCACTAAACCCTGAGCAAAGCCGAGGGACTATGAATTTGTCGGCTCACACTTCTGTGTGCTTCTGAAGCCGAAATACCTCGTGGAAGCCAAAACTCTTCCACATGTACTAAGAGTCTGGGCCCTGGGCCTTAGTTTCAACACCTCAGATACTCAGTGTGGCTCAAGTGACCAGGTGGTGTGCAAAAGTTAAATGCTTGATTCCACGGAAGGCCCGCTCCAGTCACTGTCGGCGCCATGACTGTCAGTGCTGACTCACTGTGAGAGATGCATGACCTCAGGGCAAAGGATTTGGTTGCAGGCTTTCAGCAGGGCAGGACTGCCTCCCAGTGGGCAGATGGGCAACTGAATCTTCAGGGTTGTAAGTATTATTAGTGGGCTTTGGGGCACAGCTGGCTTTAAGGCAGGAGGGCAGAAATTAAGTGCCTGGCATGCTAGGAATTGCTGATGTGCTTGGGAGTGAATCCATTAAGTAAGAAATACTTTTAAGAGTTGGAAAAAGAGAGGTACATGGTGGCACACACCTGCAATTTCAGCTGTCATATCAGGGAGCGGGGGCAAAACCCCATGTCCCAGCAGGAGCTGCTTTGACGTTCGCTCTGAGGATCAGAGTGCTGGTGAAAACAACCAACTTGCCATCTTGCCAGCTCAACACCCGCTTGCCCTGCCATGTCCTGCTTCCCCTGAGCCCCTGCCCCCATCCCTTGCCAGCTAACAGTCTATGTGCACCTCCACTACAACCTTCTCCGCAAGCCAATATGGAATGATTTGACTAGCTATGCTGCTATTTGTAAGGCCTCGCGGAGGGTCTTACATGTCCGTCCGTAGCGCTGAGCATTTAACGTAGGGCACTCTCGCCGAGCTACAAACACGGCTACGGCTCAGTGCTGGGCACAAACACACTTAGGGGCTGGTGCAAGTGCTCCAAGCGAGCACGTACTTCACACTCAAAGCTGCGACTGAGGTTCTTTCAGTAGTGTAGTGGTTTGTGACCTCCACAAGGCCCTCCCTTGGGTTCAGTCCCAAAGGTCACAAAAATGACTGCCAAAGAGTGAAGGATTGATGCTGCCTTGTTTTCACAAAACAAAACACCAGTTTAAGGGGATGAGGCTGGACTTGATGGACCCCTTTTCCAGAATGCAGGAAGCCCTAGGTTTGACTCCCCCAGCACCAAGTTAACTAATAAGCATGGTGGTGGCACTGGCCTCTATAATCCCTGCCATGAGATGAAGACAGGGCATCCTTGGCAATCTAGCTGGTTTAAGGACAGCCTAGGATACATGAGACTGTTGTCTTTAAAAACTGGGGTGGAGGGATATATCTTTTATTTTCTGTTGTTTCCCAAGTAGCTGATGCTAACACCCTCAATGCCAGAGTCCATCATGAGAAAAAGCACTACATGGGAGCTCATCAGGAAAACTCCATTTCATTCCCTTCCCTTCTGGCTACTCAGCAATTTACCTTAGAAACCCTGCTCAGGTGTCCCCACCACCAGCTATGGGAACTGAATGCTGAAGGCATGAAAGCATTTCCCGCAGATGTCTGACTACTAGAACCCTTGTCCAGGAGGCAGGGCTGGGCATCATGGTGGCTGAGCAGTAACCCCAGCAGCAGTGAGGCTCACATGGGATTGATCTGCATGGGTTTAAGAGTGATAGCCTAGACTCCAGATCACATCTGCTCCAGCAGATAAAACATCTGCAACCAAGGGACCAGGTGGGCCCTTTCTGGCCTCCATTGGCGCCTGCACTCACTCACGCCTTTAAAATCTTACAGATGAACAATGTCCTTTTCTCCCCAAACTTTTCAAGTAACTTAGTGACCTGGCACTGGTAACTTCATTTGAAATTTGCCACCCTCCCCCAATACAAGTGGCAGGGATCGAGGGATGACCTGCCACCGGGCCTCTGAAAACCTCTTTCAAAGAGCCAGATAAACGCCCTTCATGGCATTAATTCCCCAACTGCCAATCCTGTAGTTTGGGTAGATCCTCTTAAAACACTAATATTCTGAAGCCACAAATGCCTGCTGACCTTGAACTGGCAGGCTTCAAGGCATCCCGTGCTCCTCCTTCAGGCAGGATTGTTGCCCTGACACGAGAACTGGAACTTACAGGTGGTTGAGGTATCCAGTGTGGATGCTGGATATGAAACTGTGCATAGGCCTAAGCGTGAACCACCTCTGCAGCCCCTATATGCAAACCCTTAGTTGCTGAAGAACTCGGTTATTTGTCCCGATACCTTTTACTTCATGAAAAATCTTCAAACACCTGTTCACAGCCTGGGAAAGGCACAAAGAGGTTATCAAATCCTCTGGAAAGCAGCGGCACTAACTCATCTTGTGGGCAAACAGTGCTCTCAACCACGGATTCTGCCCTCTCCAACCTCACCAGCTGAGATTCTGCAGCACGTCTTTGTATGGTGCTGTAGATGGAGCCAAGCAATGTGTATTCTGGGAGAGTCCTCTTACCAAGTCATGTTATTAAAAAACTCAAAATAAGCTCTCCCAAGCATACTACCAAGTTAGAAGTTTTAGGGGGAGCTTCCTCAATGTGCAGGTAAGGAAGCGCTTACAAGTCTGACAACCCATAAAAGCCACACAAAATATATTTAAGTTGAGGGGGGTCAACAAAAATGTGTAACACCTGACCCCTAGGTAAACATGGGATTTAAAAAGGAGTGCTAAGTAAATGGCTCAGTGGCAGAGCACTTGCCTCTATCTGTATGAATCCTGCGTTCAACACCCAGTCTCTCTGTAAATAGTAAACCATTGTACAGGACAAAAGAGGCCCGCTCTGGGGTGATTTAACACCTGGGACCCCACAGCTTCTATCACAAAGTAATCAGTGCTTAGGCCTTCATGGAAGGCTTAATTTTGCTCTAAAAATATTAAATTACTGGGATACTAAGTTATAAGCCTAATCATTTGGCCTATGTAATCCAACAAGAAAATGGCTGCAGCAAGAACCTCACCAGAGTATCACAGAACCCCTTTTTAAGTTCCCTAAGGTCACCTCACTGATCAGGTATGCAATAAACATCACAGGAGACACGGTAAGAACTAGTGTAGGAGTGTAAAAATCAAATTCATTATTACCAAACTGTTTAGATAAAATATACTCCAACATAGTTTTTGGTCAGTGTCTTTAATAATAAAGATCTTTTATGTCCCTCCCTCCCAGAGAAAAACCAGAAGGCAACAGTCTGGCAGTACAAAAATATACAACTGGAAGAGATTACTTGTCTGACTACATCCCAGCTGGATTCAGAAGAGAAAAGCACATTTAGACAAGGCACTAAACCCATGACAGAGAACTATGGATGTTTATCACTTGCAACTCTTCATGTTAACAGTGCTAGGTCATTTCCGAAACTTTAACAGGCTTAGAATCTGGCTATGTGTAATATCACTGAAGACTTCTGGAGTTGAAGCAGAGATGTAAAGGAGATTAAGATCTCCCTTTCTGACCGTGCTTCAGCTTCACTGTAGTCCAATGCAGGGTAGAGGTGCTACCACGACACCTAAGGTACCATGGTAGGTGAAGGATAGCTATTTCGTGCTTAATATGTACATCTGAGATAACCCATAAGGAAATGAGAAATCCTCAATTTCGATTCTTAAATGTTCATTCACTATTACTCGCAACATCAACACACAGCATTTCCAAAGCTACAATCTACGCCAGTCAAGCTCCTACATTCTGTGTTTTCTGTAAGCTGAAATTGTGCTGGGACTTCCAGTCCAACAGATTAATGACCAATAACCAGTTAGGTTAATGCCAATGAGGAGCTGACCATGAAGGACAAAGGGTCCAAACCTCTACCACGTTAACAGGGAGTTAGAAGTCTTTTTGAACATGGGTACCTATTTCAAAGGCTCATGCTGGAACCTTCCGGACACAATTCTCTTTCTTAGTGAAGTGTTTTGCTTAAAGCTAACAAATAATTGGTGGGGGCATGTGGACGATTTATAAGCTTACAGATTGAATTTATTTTAAAGTCAGCATAGCATCCAAAAGACTATCTCAAAAGATCACATTTAAGAAAACTTAAGCCACAAGACTGTTGCATTATGATTTAATCTAGTTGCACACAAAAAATCTGAAACCACAACTCCTCCAATTTCTAAGAGAAAGGGTATGCATGCCTCCATATTTAACTGTGCATTGTTACATTAACCGTATTGTGGACTGTACATCACGATTCAGTTTGGAATCCCATGCAACACCCAAGTTATGAAGTGAAATGAATTAAAAACTTTGTTGAATGTCTTTGTGAAGATCAAATCCACATTCTATGGGCAACTTAACAGAGTTACAATATACCACACTGGTGCTCACTCCTAAAATGTTAGTCACTAAGTGTCATGATCCTGAACTGGCTTCAGCTCCTAAAAATGGCTAACTCTCAGATAAAAAGCAAAGAAAAATTCCTTAGCTAACCCCGTGGCCTCTCAGCTGTTTCTCAGGGAGAATGAACTGGGCAGCCAAGTGCTTCCCAGGGATAAGAACAATGGCAACAATGGGCTCACTCAACTGACTACTACACAATTATGCCAGTATTTTATTAAGTCAAAGCACTTTACAAGAAAATATAAGTATGGCTTCCAATAGGAATGTTATACCTGGACTTGATACCAAGCTCACAGATTTGTGTGTGCAAGGAAAAACAGGCTTTCAAGTTAAACAACAAATTTGTAACCAAAACTTTAATCCCAAGGATTCTCACAAACATATTACAAATGACAGCATGAAAAAAAAAATTCTTGCACAGTAACTCAAAGTTTAACTCTACAATGTACCCTTAAACTGATAGGACACTGGTATCTTGGTTTTACATTTCCAAACAAAGAATGTTCAATTTCCGCCAGTTGTTTCTATATCATTAGCACATCACACTTTAACTGGGCAGGATCTAGGTTTATTTCAGTCTATGAAAAACTAAAGTTCAAACCAAATTCAATCTTGCTCAAGGGAACTTCTGCAAACTGGTCTTCTATTTCCTTTCATTTGACCTAGACCGGCTAAAAAAGAGAAAATAAATGTTAATATCTTTAAGTACACAGTACAAAAAGACTATATACATGCATGGTCAACAGCTCAGTTCTTACCTACGAGACCTAGAGAATGATCGAGACGGCTTGTGATTTCTCTCACGAGACAGAGACCTTTCTCTTCTCCTATCTCTAGAAAGTGACCTACAGCAAACAGAAGGCACGTGAGCTTATTAGACATTTACTGGCAAAAAGGCTGGCTCACTTAACATGGCGCAGACTGTGTGCTAGTGACTCAGTGTCAGTGTTGTCTAAACCTCATTAAACAAGCACTTTGGGAAACAGCTTAGAGGCACCCGAAGCTGCCATTTCTGAGAATGGGGCACCAAAACATTTACCTGCTCCGGCTTCGAGAGAAGCTTCTCCTTCTTGGAGATCTAAAAGCAGAAACAGCAGAATTAGGCTAACTGTCAATCAGCACATATGGTGTGAGGCATTTCCCAACTTCTCAATCTCACTGTTGGGCCCAGTGAATGTGCCGAAGAACTGGCACTCATCGTCCAAAAACAACAAAAAGAAAAGAAAAAGGGCACAGAAGGATTAAGGAACAAAAAGCTCAAGTGAAAGCAGGTATTCCAACCATGGATTCATTTTAACAAAGAATGCTTCACAGCAGATCTGTCCAATGCAAAACTCCATGTCAAACTAACTCCACTACCCCAAACACCACACCAAAATGTCGTCCCACAAGTAGTTCCAAAAACAGTTCCATAAACCAGTATTTGGAACCCATGCAAACCTTTTAAGTCCATAACAAGACTTAAGTACCGGGTGGATAGTGTAATTTTGTGAAAACGCGGTAGGTGTAAATATGGATGCCATTTAGTGCTACATTAGAACTGCATTTGTGATGTCACATTTAAGAGTGTGTTTAGGCTTATCAAAATTACTGTAGCTTGGCCCACACTTCACCCCCAAAATTTTTTAAATTTTGAAAACTGTTAGTAAAACCATTTAAAGGTGATAGGATTCAACAAATTTTCGCTAGGAAGAAAAGCTAAAATCCGTTAGAGATATTAAAATTTTAGTTTGGCATCTCACACATGCACATAAGCTCATTGAAGGTCTAGTCACATTAGGAGTCCCTATCACCCTTAAACGTTGTTTCAAGCACTATATTGTACGTTACCATTCAATTATGCACAGCCAGCCTTTGATCCAGAAAAAAGAATTACTTTAAGCCGCTTACTCCTTATTTTTAACCAGCAGTAAACTGTATAAGCAGGAAAAACTTACTAGTTTTGGGTTTCAACAAGCTAGAAATGGTGAGGTGAGGCTGCCGGACTGACGGCCAGGAAGAATTTGCTGAAAAGGTTTTGCCAGATGTTGCGTTGGATTTAGTTGGTTGGCGAAGGGGGTGTTGTGGATTTTTCCTGCTTTTTTGTTAGCCGAAGGCTGCTGCTGTAGTTGTTGTGAAGACATTTGGTAAATAAACAGCTGAGCTGATTGGCCAGGAATGTGTGGGCGGTCGAGGTGGCTGCTGCCGATTTGGTTAAGGTTGGAGAGAAGGCTGAGAGAAAACAGCATGCTCGGGAACCAAAGGGCGGTGCAACCTGACGACTGGCCAGCCTGGGTCATGTGAAACGACACCAGCCAAGCTGAATGGGGCGCGCTGGTCACATGACGCTGAAAGGGCTAGTTGACTGGCTAATGCAGATTCAGAGGGTGGTGAGAAGAGACATGATGGTGACTCTGTAACGGGGTTCATTTTTATTAATAGATGGACCAAAAAGCACAAAAAAAAATGAAAAACAAGCCATCAGTACAACCATCTATTAGCTAACAAATACTCTTTATTATGATGGGCAACAGTGTGTTGTTTTTCAAAATAGCAAAAGGGGCAAGATTTTGAACTCCTATCTCCTAGGACTTCACTCACCTGTAAGAGGTAAATTCAGTCCTACAGAAACTATTCTGGAGGCTTGATTTGAGGAGATGAGGAGTTTGCATCCAGGCAATATCGCCTGGTCCAAGAATGATGTCATTTCAATCATAAAAAAAACTGAATTCTCTCCTATTTGGGAGTCAAGAACGGATGACTGGGAATACTTTTAGCCCCCTTTATTGGTCAGTGATTTAAGTTTTGTTTCAGAAAGATTTCTACTTTACCAGTTGTAACATTAAAACAGCTGTCTGTTTTGATAAATATTACAATTGTGCTAGTAGAAAACACATTTGTGAAGAGCTAGTTGAATGTAATGTTGATCATTATGGAGTCAAGAAATGGAAAAAGGCCTAAATTGAAGGGAAGACTTGGAAAGATGCAACTAGAAGATGAACTAGAAGACAGATCCAAGATAGAAGTTACTAACTACCAACATGAATACACCTACAGACAAAAGCCAACACTCAGCACAACTCACGTACCCCAAACTACACCCAGCAAATGTTTGTAGCAATCTCCGATGTTCAGTTAAAACCCACCAACAACCTTAGGAAGAAATACCTGCTCCTACTAGCTACTCCATTACACCAATGCCTTTCTCTAAGTGCTCTCTCAAGTACCTGCGCCGAGGTGGAGGACTCCTCCTACGGTAATCATCTCGAGGGCGACGACCCCAAGAGGGAGGTGGGCCACGATTTCGGCTTCTTTTTTCCCCATTCGACAGTTCCACTCTTACACGGCAGCCACATAGTGTTCTAAGGAAAAGGGACACCAATCACAAAATTGCTGATGGCAGGAAGAGTGATACAGGGAGCCAAGTCAAATGGAACCTAATTTGACAGTCTCAAAGAGTTTTCCAGGCCTGTTTGTTCTAAGTTGTTAAATCTGTTAAAGTCTTTACAAAGGTTAAAAAAACCCAATCTTCTCAAATGTCACTTTTAAATGCAAGAAAATAATTTCACTATACATATGAACCAGTCTAGCTGGGTATGTTGACATATACCTTTAATTCCAGCAACAGGGAGTCAGAGGAAGCCTCTCTTGACTGCAGGTTACAACAGTTAAAATCATTGGCTGCTCTTGCAGAGGGCCCAGGTTAGATTCCCAGTATGGTGCCTCACAACCACCCAGTTCCAGGGGAGCAAACACCTTCTAGCCTGAGACTAGCAGGAATGTGCAAGTGCAAACAGACAGGTAAAACATACAAAGTTTTGCTTTTTCTACACTGGGTTTCTCTGTGTAGCCCTGGCTATCTTGGAACTCATTCTGTAGACTTAGATCTATCTGCCTCTGCCTCCCAAGTGGTGGATTAAAGGCGTGGTGACCATCTGGCTATAAAGTTTTAAAAAAAACTATACCAAGCCTGTCTCACAACAGCAAAACAATTCTAAACCACCTTTCCTTAAAGAGCTTTAAAGTTTAAAAATTTTCTGTGTAGAAATGTTTTGCTTGCATATAAAGGCCATGTGCCACATTATATGCCTGGTGAGGGAGGTCAGCAAAAGGCATCAGATACCCTGGGCTATGAACCACCATGAACGAGCTGGGAACTAAGCCCAGGTCCACCGAGTTATCTCAGGAGTAGTCCCCCAAACCACTCTATTTATTTATACAATGTTCTGTCTATGTGTAGACCTGCACACCAGAAGAGGGCACCAGCTCTCATGGATGGTTATGAGCCACCATGTGGTTGCTGGGAATTGAACTCATGACCACTGCAGTAGCAACCAATGTTCTTAACCTCTGAACCATCCCTCTTATCCTTCCAAACCACTCATAATTCAAGTATTAAGGATTATTCTTCCCTTCAACTTGCTAGGTAAGAAAGCCTCGAACTCAAGTGCTTGGACTTGGTAGAAACAGGAATGCTGTGGCACACTGTCAGCCAGCTGGTAGAGCTCCAGTATATAGCTGGCCATTGAGTAAACAAAACCCAAAAGCCATTATCAGCACATGGACCTAAAACACCAAAAAGCCACACGTCCTAGATGATTTAAACGCTGGAAAGCAGGCTAACTATTTACCTTCCATCTAGCTCCCGGACAGCATCAGCAGCATCTCGGGGATCCTCAAATTCAACGAAAGCAAAGCCAGGAGGGTTTCTTGCAACCCACACACTTCGGAGTGGTCCATAATAGCCAAAAGCCCGTTCTAATTCAGTCTTGTTCCCATTGTTTCCAAGATTACCTACATAAACCTTACAGTCCAATGGACAGGAATCACGATGCATTTCTGTAATAAAAAAATAGTAATTTATTCAAGTAATCTACAGTTAAAAACAACCTAGCACACATAACCTATTTAAAACAGCAACAAAAAAACAAAAACAAAAACTACAAGCACTGCTCAATGAATGCATTCTGCCCCACCCCATACTTTCCATTTATAATCCTCAGGAAACCAACATATTTTCTAAAAAGCCAGCAGGCACAAAACAAACAAAAACCCAAGGCAAGCCTCCATAAGCCCCAGGCCAAACCATGTGTGGTGACATATGCTTTAACTCCAGCATTCAAGTGTGCAGGCAGATATGAGTTTGAGGCTAGCTTGGCATACAACGAGCCAGCCAGGGCTACAGAGACCAATACTTGGAAGACAGGCGGACCTGAGTCAGATGCCAGCCTGGTCTCATTTTCTAGGCCAGCAAGGGCTACACAATGAGACCTTTAAATAATTTTTAAAAAAATGGATGAGGCTTAATACCCTGTTTAACTTCAAATCCAGTTTAATAACCAAACGTACTTCCCGTGCCTGACACATGAAACCATCTTAAAACATCAATAACCAGGGGCTGAAGATGGCTCAGTGGTTAAGAGCACTGTCTGCAATTCCAAAAGGACCCAAGTTCAATTCCCTGCACCCACATGGCAGCTCATAACTGTCTCCAATTCTATGGATTCTGACACCTTCATACCAATGCACAAAGAATAAAATTACATCAATTACTTTTTAAAAAACATCATCAACAACAACAACAAAAAGCAACCACATGTGACGTCTTTCTCCTCTCTAAGACAAGGCAACCATTTTGGCCATTTTACATTGTTTCCTCCCATGATCACACAATTAGAGCAGAAACTAAAAGATGGATGTACCTTCCTTCATTCACTCACAAAGTACTAAGTGTGGATAAATTACCACACTTGGACCAGACAACCAATGTCTCCACATGCCAAAACTCACTAGCTTCAATTAAGGCGCAAAATGTTCGATACAAGCTTCCTTAGGGGGACTACAGGCTAAAGGCACAAGGAACCAGGTCCACCTTAGTTGAGCCACACACACTGTGGGAGAAAAACTCCTATAAATCATCTGCTGACCTATTATTATGCTGTATATCAGCCCAAACACAAAATAAACCAAACGTTTTTTTACAGGCTTCCTTCCTTGTGCTGGACCTAGTCTTAAAGGTACATTCATTAAGATCACAAGTTGGAGGCCAAACAGAGCTATAGTAAAAGATCCTATCACAACACCTTCCAGGATAGACTACCACAAAAACCACTGCCAGAATACTACTAATACCACCTTTCCGAAAGACTTAAGACTTCCTCATGCAGTTAAAATTCTTCAAATGTGTGGTGTTGCCTAGCATGCATCTAAAACTTAATTCCCAGCAGTACAGACACATCAAAAAATAAAAAAAAGGAAAAGCCTACATATCTTACTACTCACAATAGTGAAAGCTGTGCCAATCTAAACGACTACCAGGAAATGGATAGCCAAAAAGTGGCACAGCAATCGGGAATATACTGACAGATCCTAAAACCAGAAAAGGGCATCCCAATTAGTCCCCTGCATATGAAATGCCCCCCAAAAATCTAGACTAGTGCGCTACTGCCAGGAAGGGCTGATGTGAACTGAAAAACAGCATAGCTCGGGCTGCATAAGACCCTGTCTCAAAACACAAAAATTATCAGGAGGGTGGCAGGGCCAAACTGACCTCAGTTCAAGGCCAGCCTGGTCTAAATGAGTTCCAGGCCAGCCAGAAGAATGACAGTGAAGTCAGACAGGCCCCATCTTAAACCAAACCAAACCAACACAACAACAACAACAACAACAACAACAAAGGGCGTGGTGGTGCGTGATCCCAACACTCAGGGAGAAACAGGCTGCGGATTGATTAATGTGAGTCCGAGGCCAGTCAGTTCTATAAACCGAGTCCAGGACAGCCAAGGGTATATACAGAAAACATGTCTCGGAAAAAAAACAAACAAAAGCTACACTCAAAAATAATGGCTGGGAAGATACAGCACAGCTGTAGAATGCTTGCTTAGCACACAAAATGCCAGGAGTACGATCGCTGGCCTAAAATTTTTGCCTTAAAGTTATTTAAAAAAAAAAAAAATTATACGAGAATATACAGGGAACCTTAGGATACATCCAGTAAGCCTTCAACTTCACACTTCCAAAAAGAAAAAAAAAGAAACTGTAGTCTTTCCTACTATATACGCACCATAGTGTCCTAAACGCCGCTAATGTCTAACTAAAAAATTCAGTCCGGGCACATCCTATTTTGACATGACCCCACCCTGTGCCAAAGACTCAGGTTGCGAGGCCAAGACATTCTGTGAGAATTAAAAAGGGAAAAAGAAGAAACTAATCCACCCACCCCCGTTTTTCACACCTGTTAACAGCAAGCGTGTCGAAGAAAAATCCGACTCAACTTGAACCACAACTTGCATCAGTGAAGGAAAAAAACCTATTTGCATCCGAGCTTTAAAAACCAAAAACCCAATCATCGTTCGGAAACTGGATGAGGCCGCAGCGGGGTTCATTCAACACGTGCCGAAAGGGCTGCTCTGGGCTCGCGATTGAAAAGCAAAGGACCCTTAAGGCCCTTTCCTCCCAGGGCACGAAGGGAAAAAGAAAAGGCGCCATCACATTTGAGGCCGCGGCGCGGAGCTTTCGGTTGGAGATCAACCCCACCTCCGCACCCCAGCCCGGAGCGACCCCGCCTGGGCATCCCCCGCTGGAAGGACGAAGGGCCCCGACCCGGAGGCCCGGGGGGGGCTCGGGCACGGCCCGGCGGCCCCGCCGCCGCCGGGGACCGAACGTCACAAAATGGCGGCGGCGCCCCTTTGTCTCAGCCTGGCGCCGCCATCGCGCCCGGCCCCACCTCGGCCCCGAGAGGCTCCGCCTCCCTCCCTCCGCTCGCCGCTCGCTCACCGAGACCCTGGGTTCAACAAGCCGAAGCTCAAACCCCAACGCTCCGACAGGCCGCCCCGCTCGCCTCCGGCTCCGCTCCGGACGGTGCGCGCTACCTCCCGGCGTCCACGAAATGGCGGACCACCGCCGTCCCCTCGCCCCGCTTTATAGGGTCCCGTCGCGTCACGTGACCCGCCGCGCTCGCCCAATCGGAGGCGGCGGAGGCCGTGACGTCCCGGCCACAAACGCTGCGAGAAACCGCGGTTGCTGGGAGCGCGCGCCGGCCGTTCGGTCGGGTGGGTGGGGGCGCGCGCCGGCGCGAGCTCGTCGCCGCGTGCCCGCCGGGCCCCGGGCCGCCGCGCTGGGCTCGGCCGCCCTCCCCGACCCCCTGGC